TTTTTTTTTTTTTTTTTTTTTTTTTTTTTTTATTAATCATGCAGGCTGTGTCTTATAAGTCTGTGTTTGGGCTCATTTTTCTGTGGCTAATTCAAGGAATTCAGTAATCATAGCAAAGTCAATTGTCTTCCCATCACCGAAACGGATTCTCAATCTGAATGCAAAGATGCTAGCTCATTGTCGTTTTGAACACTTAAGCTAGCTTTCCCTGGAATTTCTGTCTTAGGTACCCATCAAAGCAAAAACAGAACTCTCATCTCAAAGAGGACAAGAGATAGGTTATTCTGGAGCCAAGCATGAGTGATCATGGCCCAGGAAGACAGATTTAGTTTACTCCCAAATCCATGTTCCAACATGGAAGCAGTTTGATGAGATTTTGTAGGAACAGAACCAAGAAAGCCATAAATCAAGACGCTATTGGAAGGCACTGGTGGAAACATGGGGTAGATGGGTTGAAGCGAGGTGGGGGCCTCTGTTACAGGCCCCAGATGCTCTCTGGCTGGACTCCTAGCCCTCTGCTTAGTTGGAAATGAGTCTTCAGTCTGTACATTCCAAACATTCTACCTAATGGTCACAAAACTGGTTGGTCAAGTGCAGAGGGAAGCCCTAAATGACTAAGAGGGCTAAAGATGGCTTAAAGGACTTTGGTTCTGGAATTCACATTCCAAACTCACCACATTCCTTGAAACTAACCAGTTAATCAGCTTCAAAGAAGACTCCAGCTTTTTTGAGGAACTTTGGTTCACGGTATTGAAAGGTCTCAAACATGATTTATTCAACGTCATAGGTGCGGCGGGGTCTGAAGGGAGAGGGGGATCTTCAGAAGGCTTGGAAAAGCAAGGACATTTTTTTTTTTTTTTTTAATTTGGGGAAGGAGATGAGGCAGGGAGTGAGGGAGGAGTGTCTTGTCCTGTGGAGAAATGAGAGGAAAGAGTCCAGAAGAGGAATGTGAGGTATGGAGGAAATGCACCTTCCCCAGGTGCATTCACTAGATGGGTGGGAAATGTGCCCTTTGCCCCCCCCCCCCCCCCCCCGAGGTCTCTAAGCTCCTTGGCTATTGTCATGCTCCTGGAATCCAGACACCTAGGGAGTTGGCTTCAGGAACTCTGACAAGTGCTCTGCTGCTCCCTGGAACATCCGTGATCCCAGAATCAACTCTGAGAACTGAGAACTGGGCTGTTTGGAGATGGAAAGGCCATTTTGGCTCCTCTTGGATTTAGATTTCTTCCTCTGAAGTCTGAAGGAGGGGATCATGCCTAGGGAGCCTGTCACAGAGTCACAGACATCCTCCTGGTACGGTGCCTGCTAGTATCTGTTAAGACTAGAGGGAAGCATGGTATGGTTAGCCCCTGGTTCAAACCTAACAGGAATTTCCTTCCCCAGGTGAAGGGCACCAGTGACCACCTGCTTCCTCTGAAGTAGGTGGCTGGTTGCTATGAAGAATGCATTTTTGTTGTTGTCATTTTCCTGTTAGCTGACAAGGGACATTATTTCTCCAATCTCCCTCTTGCCCTTTTGTGCTGCATTAACCAATTGTGTCACATTGTGAACTTGAGTTCCCACCAATGGGGTGAAAGGCAGTCACCACGTGCATTGGGGCAAAAGATGGAAGTGATTTTGTTACTGGTGTTTGCTAGCCCAATTTGCACTCTGGCACCCTCTTTTTGAAAAAAAGGAAGAGAAGGAAGGAAAGAAAGAAAGAGAAAGAGAAGGAGAGAAAGAGAGAGAGAAAGAGAAAGAAAGAAAGAAAGAAAGAAAGAAAGAAAGAAAGAAAGAAAGAAAGAAAGAAAGAAAGAAAGAAAGAAAGAAAGAAGGAGAAAGGAAAAGAGATTTGCTGAGTTAATTTTGCTTTTTTCCTTTTCCAGGTCATAAGCTTTCCAGTTTAGATGGTTACTGTGTCAATCAATCCAAGGGTAGCTGAGCTTCAGGCAGCCCTGTAGGAAAAGAAACACACACACACACACACACACACACACACACACACACACACACACACAGAAACTCAGTCACAGCGGAAGTAGGAAGGGGACTATTTGAGGAAAGGAAAGAATTTAGGGGGTAAGAGGGGGAGTATGAATGTGCTTACAATATATTGTATTCATGTATGAAATTGTCAAAATTTTAATTAAAAATAAAGCCAGGTGGTAGTGGCACACACCCTTAGTCCCAGTTCTCAGGAGGCAGAGGCACGTTGATCTCTGTGAGTTCAAGGCCAGCCTTGTCTATAGAATGAGATCTAGGTTGACCAGGGCTACATAGAGAGACTCTATCTTGAAAAACAAAAAACCAACCACCAAACAAAAGATTAAAACAAGCTGACCCAGACCTGTGGTTTCACAGAAGCCAACAGTCTTTCTTCCTGTCTCTAGGTGTTAGCCTCAGGTGCTACAACTGTTTGGACCCAGTCTCCTCATGCAAAATGAATACGACTTGTTCACCGAACCAGGATTCCTGCCTCATTGCTGTGTCCGGTAAGGGCCCCTGGGTTTCTGGTCTAAGTGTGGTCAGGGATGAGAGCCTGGAAAACCTGGACCCCTCTAAATCTCACTCCATTTGTGCTCACCAAGTGATGGCTGCTATTCACTAACACCTGCTGCTCACAATGGACTGGACACTAAGTGTTTCCTGTGTACTTCTTAGAAATACGGCATTTCTCACATAACCAACCCTTGGGGCCGTCTTCCTCTGCAAAAGATGAGAAAACGGAGGCTCAGGTAACATCCTAGGCGAAAGTCAGGCAATCCACACAGGATTTGAATTTGGAAATTTATCTGATTCCACAACTCTCAGGCTTCTTAATAGTGATTGTCTGCTTGCCTCCCAACCTTCTGGGAGCCTCCAGTGTGCCAGGCCCTAGCTAGGGACGCAAGGATGGAGAAAAGGGTATGCATCAAAAATTTGACCTCGGCCTGTCCCAAATGACTGTTCAGACCTCTGTCTGGCTCCAGGTATCTAGTACATATGGAGACCCGGGATGAGCTCAGAGGATGATAAATGTCCTATGACTAATAAGGAAGATGATTCATTTGAGAAGCCACGTGCTCAGAAGAGTGGCCTAAGAGATCAGGGCGCATGTGAGCGAGGGAAGAAGCATAATGCCCATAAGCCCATATCACCTGCCTTTCCACGCTGGCCGAACTGTGGAATCTCCACTTAAGAATCTGGGAAATGGTCAACTGGGAAGAAGCCAGCAGCTGCCCTCTGTTTTTAGTGGCTGGAGCTCTAAGCTAGGTAAATGTGTATGACTAATGATAAGAGGGAGCAGTGGCCATTTCAGTATGGCTTGGTGTATGAGATAAAACCCTTTCTTTCTAAGAGATAAGAATAAAAACTGCCTTCAAGGGTATGTTTCCCCAGGAAGGAAAAAACCGTTCAATTAAGTAAGGACCAATCAAAGGTAGCTTGTTTTCAAAACAGGAGTACCTGCTAATTTTTATGTAAATTCCTGGAGTGTAGCCAGAATTCCAGGCCTTATGTTCAAAGTGTTTGTTTTCACGGGGTATGGGAGGAAGACAGTCCTCCACACCTTCACTGCTAAGGTGAAAGTGTAGTAATTCCCTCATGAGTACTACAATCATTCATTCCATTTTTTTCTTTTTTGTTGAAATTTTTTTTTCATCCAATATGTTTTGGTTCATTCCATTTTCTTGATCTTAGCCCTCCTTATAGGTATGAAGTAATATTTGTCTCTCTATCACTATGTAGTAAACAGACTCATGAATAGATTTTGTTTTTTTAAGTGCTTGCTTTACAAATAAAATAGTATCATGTCTCTTTTCCTTCTCTGTAAAAGTAGAATGATTGATCAGAGGCAACATGTGTTTAAAATCTTAGTAGGTATCACCAAGTTTCCCTCTTAAATAGAAATATAACTGCCTATAACTTTCCCCTCCACCACACACACACACACACACACACACACACACACACACACACACACTCACACACTCACACACTCTCACACACACACACTCGCACACTCGCCCACTCGCCCACTCGCCCACTCACACACTCACACACGCACACACCACACACGCACACACTCACACACTGGCTCTGACCAGACTTGAGATTTATGGGAGATTCTCCCCTTGGAGGTGTGCCATCACTTGCTTGTTCACCTTTACACCCAAGTTGGGATGCCCGTTTCTGCCCCAACCTCTCTCTTCTTGTAGGCTAAGCTTGGAAATGCAGAATGACAGGTTCAGAACCGCACCTGCCTGGCTTCTTAGCATCTGTGTGTGTCTCCACAGGAAGGCAAGTCTATCAACAGTGTTGGAAATTTTCGGATTGCAATTCCGTGACCCTTCTGAACCGATTAGAACTGGCAACTGTACAATACAGATGCTGCCAGGTGGACATGTGTAACAAAAAGCTCAAAGACGAAAGTGATGACCAGAAAGGAAATAATGGGTCCTCCTTGTCGGGGAAGACTGCATTGCTGGGGACCTCAGTGCTGGCAGTCATCTGGAAGCTGTGTTTCTAGGTCGTCATGGAGCTCTGGGGCACCTCTGTTCTTACCTTTTTTTGCTGCTGCAGCACTCCAAAGCTGATATTTTCCATTATATCCTTTTGGGAAAGAATAAAGTTGATCTGAACGCTGTGGACAAGAGGAAGGGATCTAAGCCGTGTGGAGGACCGCCCTGCACCCGGGAAGGCCCTCTTCAAGTATAAGAGTGAAGTTCATGGATCCAACTCCGATAGGTTTTTTGAATCTTCTTTTGCCCTTGGGAGCACTGCCTTTCTGTTTCAGCTTAACTGGGCTTTTGGCAACCCTCAGGGATGTCTCTCTGGTTCCTAGAATGTAGCTGAGAGGTTTAGTCAGTACCTTTAGGAGTGAGTGAACCAGGGGGATTCTTTTCATCGTTTTGTCACACTCATAAAATGCTTTCATAGCCTTGCAAATCCAAAAA